ATTTTACATTAAAAATATACGTCAATATATATTTATATTATATCAAATAATTATTTTAATTAAAATTTAAAAACAAAAGCCAAATCCAAATAACAAACACAACCTTTTTTTTTACTTTTTTTTTTAATAAAAAATCTACTGTTCATTTGGTACAGTTTATTAGAATATATTAGTATTTCTATAAAAAATATATTATATTAAAATAATATTTAAATTAAAATTAAACCAAAATCACATATTCAAATCAAAATAAAATAAACTAAAAAAATACTATTACTTTTTTTTTTTCATTATTCCGATAAATAATAAAACAAAACACTATTATAATTAAGTTTCCTTTATTCTTCTTATTAATGTGGTTTGCGACCTTGGGCAAATTTAAAACTATTCGCATATTTTGTATATAGTCATAGTTAATAATACAATTTCTATTTCCGTAAATATTACGATATGGTATCAGAGACCTAAATTAGGGTTTATTTTGCTCCAACCTCGCCGCCGTCTTGTTTCTCCGTCAATCGGCGTTCACTGGACGATACCGCCGCTACCACCACCTCCGCCTTGTCGGGACCGGCTTGCCTGCAAAATTTCGTCGTTGTTGGCGGTACGTCACAGTCTCACGTGCCGGCGACACAAATCTGTGCTGCCACCTTCTCGTCATGCATGAGGGCGCGTTCAGCGGTTTCCAGCTGTCGCCTCTTATTTTAATTTTCGACGTCCTGTTATGGTCAGTTTTGTCATCTGATTCTAATTTATTTCGCGACTATTATTGGGTTGGCTTACTCAGTCAAAATTTCTGCATGATTTTTTGCGCTATACCATTTTTGATCTTCTCGCTTCATTGTATGGCTTTTAATATAGATTATGTGGACGCTTTTGAAATTTTTTTTCTACTTTTTGGTGATAATTATGATTTGTGGGTTGAATCCATGAAAAACTTCTTGATTAGTAAAAGATTATGACGCTATGTTACTAGTGACTTTAGTGCACCGGTTGCTCCTGTTGTCACCTTTGCGGTGCCTCTCACTAATAAGGAGCTCACGAATTATCGGGAAGCCTTGGATGCTTGGGATAGTAAGAATCACATTATTTTTACTTGGATTCGAAATACCTCTTCCAAGTCCATTCATATTCAACTTTGTTGCATGGACACTGCCAAGAAAGCTTGAGATTATTTGCAGTATCCAGGGTATGCATTATTATAATCTTATCTAGTCGTTAAATGCTCTGACACATGACTCAAGCCAGGATAAAAATGAGTTCTTTTCTAATATACAGCCCATTTTGGGATCGCATTGATGAAAAAAATATACAAATTGAACAATTTCGATTGATTCAGCTCTTGATGAAGTTTGGTCCAAAATATGAGTCTATGCGTGCTTCTTTGCTTCATTGCCATCCCTTTCCTTTTTGAAGACAACGATAAAGAAGATTTTGTTTGAGGACACTAGTCTTAAGATGCTCAAGGCTCCTACCCTTGATTTGGCCTTGGAAGTTTCATCATCTACACCTCATCGCAAGGATACTCACAAGTATGCCCAACCACCTACATCTGATAAATGTCGCAGTTGCCCGAACTCTGATCATGTTTTTATTTACTGCCCTAAGGGTGAGTGTCACTATTGTCATCAGAAGGGCCACATCCGTCTGAATTGTCTCGAGAATCTGAAGACTGGTCAGTCCTCTTCTTCCGGCTCTTCCTCTGCCATTGTTGTTGCTACTAGCGTATCAAAATCGGCTTCCATTCTTGAGGACATTCGTCATATACTCACCCATGTTCTATCGGTCCACCATTCTTTAGCCTCGACATCAAGTAACAATACATGGTATATTGATTATGCCTGTTATAACCGCATGACACCTGATCATCGTCTTTTATACTCCTCACAAACTGTCACCTCATCCCCTCATATACTTACCGCTGATGGAACATCCATGCACATTATCCACACTGAACATATCTCATCCCCTCACCTTGATGATATTTATGTCATTCTTAAATTAGCCCTAAACCTTACGTCTGTCAGTCAGTTGGTTAAGCATAGTCTTACTGTAATTTTCTCATCTTTTGGTGTGCAGGTTCAGGACACGCAGACGAGTCAGATACGTAGGACGAGTCGTAAGAGAGGCCGCTTGTTTGAGCTTGGCCACCTTCGCTTTCGCCAGATACCTTCTATTTCTGCTCCAGTCTCTCATTCATATTTCTATCAATGGCACCTCAGATTTGGTCATGACTCCCTACATAAACTCAAGTCTCTAGAAAATACAACTACTTTAGGTTCAGTTTGTTTCGAGTAATTTGATTTTTGCATTGTAAACTTGGAAAACAACCAACATTATCTTCTTTTTTTTTTCAAATAACTTGTCTATTACTGATAAATCATTTCGGTAGTACATTCTGACATTTGGGGGCCCTCTCATGTTGCTGCTTTTACTGGATTTTGTTACTTTGTGTTTTTTATTGATAATTACTCTTGATTTAATTGGATTCAATTTATTTAGATCCGGTCTAAACTTGCCTCCATGTACTTTGCTTTCACTAAAATGGTGCAAACTCAATTCTTGTGTTCTATTCAGACTCTTTGTGCTAAAAATGCACCCGAGTATAATGATTTTGTCCTTCTTAGTTTTATGTCCTCCCAGGGTATTATTGTTCAACGTTCCTGTCCCTACACATCTCATCAATATGGTAGGGTAGAGCGCAAGTATCGTCATAATTTAGACACAATTTGAGCAATGTTATTATCTACCTCTTCTCCAGATCGATTTTGGGGGTGAGACTGCTCTTACTACTATCTATAATATTAACCATTTACCCTCATTTGTCTTTCAGGATACCACACCTTATGAGAGGCTCTTTTGACAGGTACTTGATTACTTTCATCTTCATCATTTTAGTTGTTTTGAAATTTGTTCATCTTCCTCCTCATGAACGAAACAAATTAGAGCAACACACCCCTCTGTGTTTCTTTATGGGGTATGAGGTAGAACATAAAGATTATTGGCGTTGGGATCCTATGTCGAATTGTCTACGTATTTCTCGGAATGTTACCTTTTGGGAGCATAAATTATTTTCCGCTGACTTTAAATTTTCCAATCACTTTTAGTCAGTGTTCCAATTCTGTGTTCCAGATTCCTCTCCTCCTTCTTCTGCAAGTCAACTCTCACCAGTTTCTGATGGTGTCTCTGATGATGATCCCTCACCACCAACTAACCCATATGGGCCTCTTGAGCCTGTGACCGATCCTCTAGAGGTTTTAGTTCCTGCTACCACTAATCAACAACCTACCTGTGTAAGTTATCCTACCTCTCATCTACTTGATTACCATTGCTTTTCTGTCATTTTATCTCACCATGGACATAAGAACTTTCGTGAGGCGAACTGTGATATCTTGTGGCGCAATGTTATGTCTAAGGAATTGCAAATTTTTGAGAAGACTGTCACATAGGATATCGTATATCTCCCACCTGGAAAGAAACTCATTAGCTGCAAGTGGATGCAGAAGATCAAAACTCACTTCGATAGTTCTGTTGAGCGCTACAAGGCTCGCCTCATAGCTAGAGGTTTTTCGCAAGAGTACAATATTGATTATGAGGAGATATTTGCTCCTGTTGCTCATTTGACATCTGCCTATTGTCTCTTTGTTGTTATAGCTCTTCGATGTTGGTAGTTATTATAGTTGAAGGAAGAATGTATTTTTTCATGGGGATCTGTCTGAGAAAGTCCACGTGATTTCTTTACCTGGTTCAAAATTTTTAAAGAAGGTATTTTTTTTTGAAATAAACAAATAGTACTATTTTTATTAGAAAATAAATTACTCTTAAAAAAATCATTGAGATAGTCTCACTCTCACGACTAAAAGTATATTTGTTTAGTATTTTTAATTTTATGTATTTTTATTTCTATTAAATGGAAAATTTATGATATTTTCCCAGATGAATATATTCGTTTGATATTTTGTAGTAGATCAAATATAATAGTATTTTATTATTTAGTGAAACTATTGTTTTGACAATTTTGACCTTTGCTTTTATGTATAAAATATTTGTATATTTTTAATTTAAATAAAAATTGAGAGTATTTTAATATTAGTGTATAATTATTTCTATTAAATGAAAAATGTATGATATTTTTTTAAGAAGTATTGTTTTGATTTAATTTATTATTTTTTCTATAAAAAGTATATGCAATTTTATTTTTTTTTTGAAAAAAGACATTCGGCGGAAAAAAAACCAATCATTGGATAAGCCCGGATGGCAAACTAATCACATGCCAGACCAAGTCGGCTATATATATGTGTATATATATATATATATAGAGGGCCGTCTCGGACTTTTTTGAGACACTGAACGAAAATAAATTATAGGTCCTCTATAAACATATAATTAAAATATATTTTTAAAATAATATCACTGATTGACGTCGATTGGAGAAGAGGTTGAACGTGACCGTATAGACAATGTCAATTTGAGAATAAAAGATAAAAGATGGTTTGTCCAGAAATTTGAAAAGCGAGAAGGACTGAAGGAAAGTGAAAGAGATAAGAAATAAGGTGAGGCAGATTAGGTGTAAGGTAAAATAGTGTAAGCTATAATTAAATTTAAAAGGACAAGGGTGAAACGTGATTAGAAAGAAAGATAATAGAAAAAAATTAAAAATTAAAATTTAATTTTAAAATTTAATAATAATAATAAATAATAATTTAAAAGATGAGATCTCTCTTAATTAGGGGCTGAGCAAGCCGCCCATATATATATCTCAGAAGACAAATTCCACTTGTGCGAACTAATTCAATCTTAATCTTACATTAAATAAAATCAGCTTCAGCCGCCATTGCGGACATCCTCAATGTCCTTGAGAACATTTCTGCACCCACCCCATCCCCACTTCATTAATTAATTATTCCTCATCTTCCCCAATATATATATATATATAATCAATTCATCTCATCGCCGACGACGATTGAATTAATTATCACACTTACACCACATACAAATCAATGGGTAATGCAATTTGCTTCCGTCCGCCACCAGCGTCGCCCTTGGCGGCGAAGATCATATCCTACGGCGGCGGCACGAGGTGCCTGACCGGCAAGCACTTCGCCGGCGAGATCATGTTCCAATGGCCGGACCGCGTGGTCTGCCACGCCGACTCGTTTTTCATCGGCCGGCCGATCCCTTCCCTCGCCATCGACGACGAGCTCCACCACGGCCAGACGTATTTCGTGCTGCCTCTCGACAGCTTCCCGCACAGCGTCCTGTCGCCGTCGTCCCTGGCGACGCTGGGGTGCAGCCGCCGCGCCGTCGCTGGATTGAAGGAGTGCCCCTTCGAGTACGTCAGAGGATCAAACGGCGCCGTTTCGATCAAGGTGAAGCCTGAGTACATAGCGCGACTAATCGGCGGCGGGGAGAATAAGGAGACGGCGACGGCGACGGCCGACGGTGGGAATGGTTGTAAAAGTCCAGTGTGCAGCTCGCCGGAGCTGCAGAAGCATTACGATCAGCTAGTGGGGCCTCGAGATCGGATTTGGTCGCCGAAACTTGAAACGATTTCTGAGAGCAAAATTAGGGTTTCGCCTTGCCGGATTTTCGGGCTCGATTGGAAGCGGTAGCTACAACCACGGTTAATTAGTTACTTGTGTTAACTTAGGGTTTAGGTTAGCAAATAAATTAATACTCTAAATTGTATATTCTATTAGCCCTTTTGGATTCGCTTTTGCAGAAACTTTTAGATTTCTACTTTTAAAAATAGCACTTTTCTACTGTTTGTATTTCCTTGTATGAGCTCTTGAAACTGAAAATGCTCTTTAGAAACACATTGAGTGTAGTTACTAAAATAAACAAAAACACATTTCAGTTAAAATATTGTTCTATCAGTCTTATCAATAAGTGTTCACATTCTGTCTTAGATTTCATGTTACTTATTTTTTAAGAAAATTACACAACTTAGTTTTATTTTAAATCTTTAAAATTTTAATTTATTAATTTTAATTAAACTAATTAATTATTTTAATTTTAATTTTTAATTATTTATAATATAAAATAATTATTTTTATTAATACATTTTTAATTATTTACTTATTATAAATTCCTGACCCGGACATGCAGCGTGAGACGGAGGGAGTATTTTATTTTTAATAATAATAAATATTGTTAGAAATTTTAGAAAAAAATAATGAAATTACATTATTGATTATCAAAAGAAGGAGTCTATATATAGACAATACAAAACAATAAAAGTCAAATCTAAATAATCTAATCTATGGATAAAATCAAATCTAAATATAATTCTACTAAATCAAAAAAAATGAATATTTAAATTATCTCAATATCCCCCTTCAAACTCAAGTGGTACAACATAAACCAACTTGAGTTCGATAAGAAAATTGAATAGCAAAGACGCAAAGAAAAATAATAATTGCTTTTCTGTCGTTGCCGCGCCGCTCTACCATATCAAAGTCAGAAATAATGCTCTCAACTGAATTAGAGTCGAAAACGACATAACTCTCTATTAGAGTCGAAAACAATTTGACTCTCTACCGGAGCCGGACTCTCTATTGAAGCCGAAAACGACATGACTGAAAACGACATGACTCTTGTTAGAAATTTTAGGGAAAAATAATGAGATTGTGTTATTGATTATCTAAATAAGGGGCCTATATATAGACAATAGAAAATAGATTTAATAGACTCAAAATATATGGATAAGACCAAATCTAAATATAAATATACTAAATCTAAAACTTAATATCTAAAAAATCTCAACATCCCCTCAAACTTAAGTGGTATAACAGAAACCAACTTGAGTTTGATAAGAAAGTTGAATATAAATGCAAAGAAAAAACACAAATAAAAATAATAGTTGACTATCCACCGGAGCCGAAAAACGAAATGTCTTTCCACCCCGGAGCAAAAAACGAGATGACTCTCTACCGGAGTCGAAAATGACATGACTCCACTGGAGCAAAAAACGACATGACTCCACCGGAGCCGAAAACGAGATAACTCCGCCGGAGCCGAAAAACGAGATGTCTTTCCACCCTGGAGCAGAAAATGAGATGACTCTAACGGAGTAAAAAATGACATGACTCCACCGGAGCAAAAAACGACATGACTCCACCGGAGCCGAAAACGAGATAATTCCACCGGAGCCGAAAACGAGATGACGGTCTACCGAAGCCGAAAACGACATGACTCCACCGGAGCTGAAAACAAGATGACTTCACCGAAGCAAAAAAATGAGATGACTCTCCACCGGAGCCGAAAATGACATGACTCCACCGGAGCAAAAAATGAGATAACTCTACCAGACCCGAAAACGAGATGACACTCCACCGGAACCGAAAACGACATGACTCCACCAGAGCCGAAAACGAGATGACTCCACCGGAGCAAAAAATGAGATGACTCTCCACCGGAGCTGAAAACAACATGACTCCACCAGAGCCGAAAATGAGATTACTCTCCACCGGAGCCGAAAATGAGATAAATTGCAAACACCAAACAGATTGCACGTAGGTATCAGACAAGCAACAGGCAAATGGCAGATCGTAGACAAATTTCAGATCGCATGCAGGCAACGGACAAGCAGCAGACAAATGGCAGATCACAGACAGGTTTCAGATCGCACGCACGCAACAGACAAGCAACGGATAGATGACAGATCGCAGACAAGTTTCAGATCACACGTAGGCAACAGACAGATAGCAGATCGCAGACATGTTTCAGATCGCACACAGGCAACAGACAAATAGCATATAGATTTTAGATCGCACGCAAGCAACAGACATATGGCAGATAACATGATCTCAAAATCACAAGATCTCCGGGTACAATCCATGTTGAATGTACCCGGAGAAACGCAGGTTGTTAAGCTATATCTAGGTAATAATGAGATTGTATTGTTGATCATCAAAATAAGGGGCCTATATATAGGTAATACAAAACATACTTGATAGGCTCAAATCTAAGTAATCTAATATATGGATAAGACCAAATCTAAATCTAAATCTAAATATACTAAATCTAAAACTTAATATCTAAAATATCTCAACAACTTTCTACTGGAGCCGAAAACAAGAGAGTACTCTCCACAAAGTCAGAAATAACGAGACTCTCATTGCAATCAGAAACATGCCTCTGGAAAAACGCAGCAAACGGATTGCATAATCGTAGACAGATGCGCCAACATGACTTCAAATGTAGACAAAATCAAGATTCGGAAAAAATTTAAATAAAAACAAAAATCTCAAAATTGGAAGACTTCCGGGGACATCCCAAAAACGCAGGTTGGCAGGTTATATCTACGGCATGAAAAAAATAGTCTTTGATACCATATTAGAATTTTTGGGGAAAAATAATGAAATTGTGTTATTGATTATCAAAATAAATTGCCGATATATATAGACAATATAAAACATATTCGATACAGTCAAATCTAAATAATTTAAAATATAGATAAGACCAAGTCTAAATATAAATATACTAAATTTAAATATCCACAATATCTCAACAAATAATTAATTTTTAGTATTATATTTTAATTAAAATAAAAAAAATATAGTTATATTATTATTCTTAATTTATACGAATTAAAATTTTAAACTATAACTGAGATATCAAATTTAAATAGAAGTATATAAATAGAATAAGACACTATTATGGCCGCGGGCCTCACTGTTGTCGCAGCCGCCAGTTGCTGTCTCCGCCGAAAGATGAGGAGTAGAAGACGCCATTGCCGCCGCTGTTGTCGTCACCTTCGGAGAAGAAAAGAGGAGGATGAGAAGACGCTTTGCTGCCACGGGCTCCGCATCACCGCCGACAAAGGAGGAGGAAAATACACCGTTGCCACAACCAGGGCTGTTTCTGACTTTTGAAGGACCCGGGCGAAAAAATATTAGGGGCACTTAAATATATATATATATATATAATATGTTTTACCTATAATAAAATATAAATAAATAAAAAAAATATATTTTTTCTAGCATAATTTTTAAAAATTGCAAAATACTCCCTTATATTTTAACAAACGCTATATTAAACCGTCGTCATGCAAAAAATATAGATGAAAAATCATCTTCTCATCACCAAAAAAAATATAAAAATGAGTTTCATGGAATATTTTTTAAAGTACAAGGGGTTCATGTCATTTTCAAAGTATATAGAAATTTACACTGAATTTCGAAATCAGTTATTGATAATTTTGCCTAATAATAATAATAATTTTGTCTAATATTTATTATCTTTTTAGTGAAAAAATAATTAAAACAAAAATAAAAGACCCCTAAATATATATAAATGATCTACTCCGATTTTTTTTACCTATAATAGAATATAAGTTATTAAATAAAATAATTTTTTCAGAATTTTTAGATAAAATATCAATAATATTATTAATATTAACAATGTTAAAACAAATATTAGGGCCCAGTATATATAATATATTTTTTATCTATAATAAAATATAAATAATTAAATAAAATAATTTTCTTAATATTTTTATATGTAAAATATCAATAATATTAACTTTGTCTAATTCTTTTTAATGTATAAAAAAATATTTTTAAATTTTGAAGGCACTCTTAACCACTGAGAGGGTATTTGACAAATAGCTTTTTGAAGAGTTTTTAGCTTATTGAATAGCTTTTAGTTGATTGATCGTTCAAAAAGCTAATTTAGGTGTTTGGTAAATTAGTTTTTTTGGAATAGCTTTTTGGATCCAAAAAGCTAATTTATGAAAAGCTAACTTATCCAATGTTTTGAAATAGTTTTTTCTGTAAAATTTTTTTATTCCTTATATGTCCTTAAAAATTTATTATGCATTTTGCACAAATAAATATATTTTCCTTATTTATTAACTATATTAGAATATTTTATTATATTATAGTTTTACTTTTATAAATTTAAAATAATTAATTTTTATATAAAAATTATTTTAATTGTAAAATATATAAATTTATTAAAATAACATAAAATAGAAAATATAAATATTAATAATTTATTTTTATATTAAAATTACAATATATAAATTTTATACTAAAAATAAATTAAATTTATTGAAAATTATAAATATAATGAACTAATCTATAACTAACATAATAAATATATACACGAAAAATTTATTATTTTATATTTTACATCATTTTCAATAGAAAAAATTGTTTATATATTTCAATAAAAATATATTATTTTTTAAATCTAACTATAATAAAAATAAATACTTTTATAACACTTTTAAAATTTTCAATAACTAATAACAATTTTTTTTTTTAAACATTCTAAACTAAAAAAAAACATCATTGAATATATTAGAAACAAAAATAAAATAAAAATGACCTCAATTATTATTTTATGTATAAACAGTTAATATCAAACAGTTGTTTTACCAAACATTTTAATACAAACAGCTATCGAATCAGCTAGTTAAACCAGCTGATTGAATCAGCTAACAGCTATCAACTAATTGAATCAGCTAACAACTAACAACTATCAGCTAATTGTCAAACACGCCCTAAGTCATGCTCTTATATTAATATATTAATGTCAAATAATTTGTATATATAAATAATTTATATATAACATAAATAAATAATGGGCCCCAATTTAAATTGAG